ATGGGTCACTTAGTATAAACTATATACACAATAGCAGAGGCTTGTGGAGGCCTTTTCTCCATGCATCAGGAGTTGAGCATTTCTCCATGCATCAGGAGTGCAAGAAATGCACAGCAGGCCGTAAATGTTTCTTTTTTTATATGTCCCAATATTTTGGGGGCTATCCCAATTAAAAAAAAAAAAAAATGTAAATAATAAAAAACAGTGTTGGCTACCTCCTCCTCCACCGCTGCTTCCACCTATACCGCCACGGTCAACGCCTCCTCAACCTATGGGTCACTTAGTATAAACTATATACACAATAGCAGAGGCTTGTGAATGCCTTTTCTCCATGCATCAGGAGTTGAGCTCAGTTTGAGCAATGAAAGGGAATACCCTGCACTCCAACCCTCTCTCAAATGGATAATTCTGGTGATCCTCCTGACAGCCATGCTTTAGATTTTAATTTATGTTCTTCAAAAGCTAAAATCAAAGATTCCCTCTAGTGCTATTTTATGGCTCAGCTGTATTTTAAATTTTTAGGTATTTTATGTTATTTTAAGTGATTTCCCTATCCACATTTGTTTGCAGGGCACTTGTCCCACTCTTAACTCCATGTTACTTCCTTTTGCAGCCCTCTAGCCCTTTCCAGGACTTTTTAGAGGCATTTTTGTGGCCAAAAGTTCAGGGTCCCCATTGACTTAAATGGGTTTCGGGGTTAGGTTCGGGGTCAAGTTCGAGCCCGAACATATTTTCAAAGTTTGGCCGAACCCGCCAGACCCAAACATCCAGGTGTCCGCTCAACTCTAGTAAGGACATATGTATCTTGGGCAAATAGTAAAAGATAGGGATATCTCCTGGTGCAGATCACAGAAATCCCTTCTATTTTCTATCCAATGAGCCACTTGAAAATGCCAATTCAATTAAATCACGTAATTCCTTTTCATATATTTTGGTGAGGTCAGTATTTAATTCTTAATAATATTCCCTATTCCCCCAAATTTTAGGCGCTTCTTTCATATAGTCCTGCCTGTCCAATATAACGGTTCCTCTACCCTTATCCGCTCCTTTGATAACAATACCTCTATTATTTTTAAGGCTTTTCATAGCTTCTACTTCCCTTTTAGTCAGATCATTCAATACAGATCTCATACTCTGTTTTATTGAATGACTCAATATTTTAAAATCTCTCAGTAGCAGATCATAAAAGATCTGCATATATTGGCCTATATTACCTGTGGATAATACATTGAGGAAGGTCTAAAACCTGAAGAGATATTAGCATTTAATACCTGAAGGGCATATCCTTCTGGATGAGGTCTCTCTTGTTCTTTTGGGAGGGAACATAGATTATGAAACATGATCTTATCCTGTGGGTTAATGAAAATCTTATGGCACACTTCATTGCCATTGGAATCTTTCAGATTATATGATTTTACCAATGTAAATTTTCTTATGAAGCGATTGAAATCTCTGAATAATTCAAATAAAGTTTCTTATCTGGTGCACATTTTAATCCCTTATTATATAAGGAAATTTCTCCTGTATTCAATCCATTGTGCTTGGAATAGATACCCAGCTGGTCTTTCGTTCTAGAGGGAGAATAATGGGTTGTTGTAACAATTTCTGCCATCATGACTGCATTTGAGGTGAGTTGGGGATCACATGGGAATGCACAAATGGCATAAGATGCCAAGCTGAAGTTTGCTTCCCACCTCTGCCATTCAACTTCCATTTCTTGTCGTGATGTGAATGAAGAGGAGGTCATCTTTTATTGCTACATGCCCAAGTCAAAACAGAGCTTCATGAATAAAGCTTCTTGGTTGGGATCAAGATAATGTTCACTAGCCGGAGTGGGGGAAATGGGGCTCTAGCTGGGTGTATTAAGCTTCATGATGGGAGGTTGTATGTTTCCCATTTGGCTGCAAACACTTCACAAATGACTGTGATGCCAGTCAAACCCTCTCACCAGGTAGCACCAGATGTTTGCTCAATGTGACTGCTGCAGACAGAGGTCAGAAGTTTAATTGTTTATAAACAATAAATGCAGAATAAGCGATATAGCTGAAAAATTACCACGAGAAGCGACTGTCCAGCTTGGCAGTCAGGCACTGCCCCCTATTACCATTTTTTTGTAAATGTTATCAACAACTCTGACTAATATTAGAACATCTGAATAACTCAAGAGAGCCCAATGTAAATTACAGGAGAAATTAAATGTTTTATTGGACCACACTAAATCAAAAATAAATGGCAAAGAATTCAAAGTTCTTCTTAGGAACACTAAGGAATAACTTCACACGATAGCATCAGTAGTAAGAGCTAGCGTGGGTTTACCAGACTGTTAATAAGAATTGCATCTACTTGCATTTTGACATCGCTGGACATACAGCAATCATTACAGTTTACCTTATTAATTAAAAACAGAATGCAGAGGGAAACAAGATATCTTCAAAGTAGCATTGTTGTTCCTGCAGAGGGATTAAACTGGAAACTGGTTAACTCATTGCCACAAGCATTACAGGTGGAAATATCAAAGTGCATTCAAGTAATAATAATAAGAAGAATGAAATGTAGGCATTTGTTTATGGGGAAAACTTCCACAAAGATGTATGAGAGAGAAGTTGCTAATTATATCCTTTACAGTGATGTTGTTAAAACTGGCTGATTTTAAATCATAATGGTAACAGGTGTATAAGATCAATAATGATATTTCATCCTTAGAAATCCTTGATGAGTCTTCAGTAGTGATGTCGCGAACACGAAATGACTTCAATGGGCAGGCAAATTTTAAAACACACAGGGACTCTTTCTGGCCACAATAGTGATGGAAAAGTTGTTTCAAGGGGACTAACACCTGGACTGTGGCATGCCGGAGGGGGATCCATGGCAAAACTCCCATGGAAAATTACACAGTTGATACAGAGTCTGGTTTTAATCCATAAAGGGCAGAAATCACCTAACATTCCTAAATCACAATGAATATGGATTGACACCTGACATATGACATATTGACACCTTGACATATGGATTGACACCTGTCCTCAGAGCCCCTGATGCACACGGACACAGAGCAGAATAGAGACTGGTCCCCCTACATAGGGTCACTTGGCAGATATGGATTGACACCTGTCCTAAGGATCCCTGATACACACTGACACAGAGCAGAATAGGGACTGTTCCTCCTACATAGGGTCACTTGGCAGATATGGATTGACACCTGTCCTCAGAGACCATGATACACACTGACACAGAGCAGAATAGAGACTGTTCCCCTACATAGGGTCACTTGGCAGATATGGATTGACACCTGTCCTCAGAGCCCCTGATACACACTGACACAGAGCAGAATAGAGACTGTTCCCCTACATAGGGTCACTTGGCAGATATGGATTGACACCTGTCCTCAGAGCCCCTGATACACACTGACACAGATCAGAATAGGGAATGTTACCCCAACATCGGGTCACTTGGCAGATATGGATTGACACCTGTCATAAGGATCCCTGATACACACTGACACAGATCAGAATAGGGAATGTTACCCCAACATCGGGTCACTTGGCAGATATGGATTGACACCTGTCCTAAGGATCCCTGATACACACTGACACAGAGCAGAATAGGGACTGTTCCCCCTGCATAGGGTCACTTGGCAGATATGGATTGACACCTGTCCTCAGAGTTCCCTGATACACACTGACACAGAGCAGAATAGAGACTGTTCCCCCTACATAGGGTCACTTGGCAGATATGGATTGACACCTGTCCTCAGAGACCATGATACACACTGACACAGAGCAGAATAGGGACTGTTCCCCCTACATCGGGTCACTTGGCAGATATGGATTGACACCTTGTTACAAACTGCTATTTGTAACTGGCCCTTTAAATGGCAAATTGCCCTGCTTCCCTGGGTTGTGGAGAAGCCTATTTGCCAGCCTCCTCCCGCATGACTATGGCCCCTGGGAGATTGTGAAAATGTATGCACTTTTATTTGGTGTGTATAGCCCTTTAAGACTGTCGGTGGGCATATTGGGGCTTATGGACTCTTTATGTGACTGGTGCTGGCCCTTTAAACACCTTTTTTGGGACATCAGATAGATTGGGACACTGCCCCTTTAAGGCCGTGTCCCCAGACTTGTTGGGGACACTGCCCCTTTAAGACGGTGTCCTCTGTGTCCCCACACCTGGTGCAAACCCTTTGTGCCTGCCTGGCTATTTCCCACTTGGTTCAGTAAATGGGGCTTACTGAACCAAGTACCACACAGGCAGACCACCCAGAAGTGGAAGTGTGCGGGCAATTTACCTCCCAGAAGCTGCGGTTAACCGCAGCTTAATTGACAATGCTGGGAGGTCTTTGTTCGTTTGCCGAACACGTGGCGGCGGCCATCTTTGATCATTCGACGAGGTCAGCGGTGTGTGTAGCCAAATTCATGGAACTAAAATCACACATTTTGAACACCGCTGAGCTCCTTTCTCCCCTACTGGTTTTACAGCTGCAGAACTAAGTCCCATTGGCCCGATGGGACTTAGTGGTCTACCGTTTTCAGCTTATTCAGCTGCAGAGACCCAAATTCCCATTACGTGATGGGACTTAGTGGATTTCAGCCTGAAATAGACCGACCGCACAGCCCAAATCTATGGAACTGTTTTGGGCAGGAAAATGTGCTTGCGGTCGGTCATAAAGGGACCTCCAGCTAACTTTTTAACCCCTGGATGGATTTGGCTGATTTTTGGTTATGTTTACGTTTTAAGTGTGCTGTAGCAGCGGCCAGAAAAATTGATGTTTGTTTCACAGGAAGAAAGTGCCCTAAAACATGGCGGCTTGAACCCTAGTTGGTGGCGGATAAGTCACGCAAGTCAACCGGCATTCAGAGCTAAAATACAACAGCGTGTGGAACATTTTTAGCCCAAGGCAGCTCATCTCATCAGGCCTTTATTACATTGGGTCACTTGGCAGATATGGATTGACACCTGTCCTAAGGATCCCTGATACACTCTGACACAGAGCAGAATAGGGACTGTTCCTCCTACATAGGGTCACTTGGCAGATATGGATTGACACCTGTCCTCAGAGCCCCTGATACACACTGACACAGATCAGAATAGGGACTGTTCCCCCTACATAGGATCACTTGGCAGATATGGATTGACACTGTCCACAAGGACAAGCTGCAGACTTCCTGGCAGGGCCCATACAAGGTGGTAGAGCAGGTTTGTGATACCACCTTTGTGATCGGTACGGTCACAGGCACGGGAGGCAAGCGCATGCTCCATGTGAACAACCTCAGGCGCCTATCCTATGCCCCGGATAGACGAGCTCCTAGACAAAATGGCCAGAGGCCAGTACCTCACCACAATAGATCTGTGCAAGGGGTACTGGCAAATTCCATTAGCCGAGGACGCCATCCACAAGTCGGCATTTGTCACCTTGTTTGGCCTGTATCAGTTTAGGATGGTAGATCGGCTACTGGATGGGTTTCAGGAGTATGCCTGCGCGTACTTGGATGATATAGCCATTTTTAGCTGCTCCTGGCCCGAACACCTGACCCACATAGGATCCGTACTAGACCGGATTAGGGAGTCCGGACTGACCCTAAAGCCCAGTAAGTGCCATATAGGAACGCGTAAAAACCTCCCCAAGATAGTAGTATGGGCCCCAGAGTGTGAACAGGCCTTCCAACAGCTCAAGACGGCGCTCATTAAATCACCTGTACTTTCTGCTCCTGATCCAACTAAATGCTTTCTCGTCCATACAGATGCTTCTATGTTTGGATTGGGAGCAGTACTGAGCCAAGTTCGAGCAGATGGCGGCGAGCAACCCGGGGCTTATCTAAGCCGGAAACTTTTGCCCAGAGAAGTAGATACACTGCCATTGAAAAGGAGTGCCTGGCGGTGGTGTGGGCCCTCAAAAAGCTGCAACCTTACTTGTATGGACAACAGTTTACCTTACTCACAGATCACAACAAATTTGGGGCACTGCGCGTGCAATCTAATGTGCCACCAGATAGGAGTGGTGTGTTTAGTACTATTGTTATCAGTTTAATCACTGTTACGTCCCCTATCCGTTGATGTGGAGCAAGACGCAGCAGCAGAAGAGGACTCAACCGAGGAGGTTATGGAAGAGGATGGAGTAGGAGGAGTAGAGGAGGTGGCAGCAGGCCTGCCTGCAAGTCATGGCGGTGTCACCAACTCCTCTGCAGAGCCACGCATTCCATGCTTGGCAGCCGTCAGCAGGTTTGCCCAATGCGCAGTGTAGGTGATATACCTGCCCTGACCATGCTTTGCAGACTAGGTATCAGTGGTCAGATGGACCCTTGCCCCAACACTGTGTGCCAGACATGCCATTATTTCCTTTTGCACAATCAAGTACAGGTTGGGGATTGCCTTTTGTGAAAATAAATTTCGTCCGGGTACCTTCCACTGCGGTGTTCCAATAGCTACAAATGTTTTGAATGCCTCAGACTCCACCAGCTTGTATGGTAAAAGCTGGCAGGCTAATAGTACAGACAAGCCAGCTGTCAGACGCCGGGCAAGGGGTGACTTTCTGACATTGGCTTCTTACTCTCAAACATGTCCTTGACAGACACCTGACTGGGCAGATGAGCAGGAACTGCTCAAGGCGAGAGACGGAGTGGCGGATGGTTGAGAGGGGGCAAGGAGGACAGCAGTGGTTGACGTGGCTGAAGATGCTGGACCAGGAGGAGGATGGCGGCTTAGAGTAGGCGTGCTGCTTGTACTCATGTTGATCCCATAGGCGTTTGTGATGTGAAATCATGTGCCTACGCAAAGCAGTTGTACCTAGGTGGGTGTTGGACTTCCCACGACTCAGTTTCTTTTGGCACAGGTTGCAAATGGCATCGCTGTTGTCAGAGGCAGACACACAAAAAATTCCACACTGCTGAGCTCTGCAATGACGGCATTCTGGTGGTGGACACAGCATGCGTTGATTGGCGTGCTGTCGGGCTGACCCCGGGTGTCGATGCATGCTGTCTGACTGTGCCACTAGCTCCTTGCGACGACCTCCCCCTGCTTCCAACTCGTCTCCTCCTCCTCCCTGTCTCCCCATCTGAACTTTCGCCCTGTTCTTCTTCTTGACGAGCGGGCACCCACGTGACATCCATGGACGCATCGTCATCATCAACGGCTTCACTTGTATCTGACAACTCAGCAAAGGAAGCAGCAGCGGGTACAACATCATCATCATCATCACACCGTACGTCCATGTGTGTAATGCTGCCTGCCTGAGACATATCCCTGTTATCTACTTCCTCTGGCAATAATGGTTGCGCATCACTCATTTCTTCAAACGGATGTGTGAATAACTCCTCTGACATACCAACTGAAGTGGCTGTGGTGCTAGTTTTGGTGGTGGCGGCAGGCGGGTGAGTGGTATCTTGAGAGGTGCCTGAAGCTAAGCTGGAGGAGGATGGTGCGTCAAGGTTCTGAGCGGAGGCTGTAGAAGATTGGGTGTCCTGTGTTAGCCAGTCAACTATGTCCTCAGAACTTTTCAAGTTCAGGGTACGTGGCCTCTGAAAACTGGGCATTATTCTAGGGCCAAAGGGAATCACAGCACCACGACCACGATGGCCCCTGCGGGGTGGCCTGCCTCTGCCTGTCATTTTTTGGGGGATTAGTGGTACTATGCGTGCAAGCTACTGTGAGACCAGATATGAGTGGCAATGTGCACTGGCACAGTTGTGCAGGGCACAGGCTGTAGGCCTGACACACCCGCTTTAAGGACACTGACTGCTATTCAATCTATAACAGTGGAAAAAGTTTTTTGCTTTTAAATGCAAGCTATTGTGACACCAGATATGAGTGGTGGCACTGACTGGGCAAATGGGCACAGTATCCACTGTGAGCCTGACACAGAAGCTGGCAGCAGTGGCAGACAACTAACTGCAATTACATTACACACACAAAAAAAAAAAAGCATACCCTAACCCAGCTATGCATTTCCCTATCTAATCAACAGCAGCTACACTTTCCCTCCTCTCACTAAGCATGCAGCTTGAGAATGAATGTAAAATGGATGCCTTCCAGTAGGTGGGAGGGTCTGCTAGGGAGGGTGTGCTGCTAATTGGCTGGAATGTGTCTGCTGACTGTGAGGTACAGGGTCAAAGTTTACTCAATGATGACGAATAGGGGGCGGATCGAACCGCGCATGCGTTCGCCGTCCGCGGTGGACGCGAACACGCTATGTTCACCGGGAACTGTTCGCCAGCGAACCGTTCGGTGCATCACTAGTCTCCACTTTCTTGTTTCAAATAAAGACTGCCTTTTGTAAGAAACTTCAGGTGTGCCTGGATATTTCTTTTTTTTCCATTTGATGTCTCCAGGGATTGTCCCTTTCTGGAGCACTCTGCAGGAATGTATTCCCCCCTTTTTAGTGTGTGCATTTTACAGGTCTGTCAGAGTGCATTCATTGTATATTTTGTACCTCCAAAAGTATATGGAGTGATACTAAATCTAGACTGCCAAGTGTGGGTAAACAGGTAAACAGTACACTGAGGTAAAAGTCAATTGTTATATATTAAGAGCCATTGTAAGCAATACACTTACTTCTGCTTTTTTGCCCAATTGAAGTTCATAATTAAACATTTTCAGCAAATTTCTTTAAGGTTTTATCAATATAGGCATTTATGAAAATGTGGGTCACATACAGCTTGAAGTGACCCTTTTGTGATATTGTTTAATGTCATTGTTCATATTTGAACAGTTTAACTAATAATTAATAATGAACCTTATCTATTTATAAACGTATGTGTATTTTCTCACTCACAGTTCAGTTGGTACGTTCATGCATGCTCACACATTACATGCACACACACAAACACACAAACCAAGCATACCGTAAGACAAGGTAAGCACTAATTTGTCTTATGGACAAGCCTGATATTGGCAAAAGTTGACAAAAGGCAGAGCATCGCCATCAACTTTTGTCCAATCTCAGCAGCTGTCACAAGTGGCTGCTGTGCAATTAAGACATTGTCTTAATGGTCTCGCGGAATACCCCACAGAACTTAGTGTATGAACTCTTATGCATGCGCGAAAGTACAAATCTGATACTGCTCCTGTCAACTGAAGTAACAAAAGCTGAACAGGACCTGTAGGACATAGATGACAGTGGCCATAAGGGACAGCTTGAGGTAAATAAAACTTACATTCCTTGCACACCGTGCCCACCAGATATACAATGACTCCCAAAAATAACAGATCCACAATACTGAGGATCTGGAACCATTGTGAACAACTCAAAATTATTTACAGTCCTGTATTTCTGTGATTTGATCTGTGAGACCAAATATTAGGAAAAAAAAAAGAATAAAATACAACAAATATATCTCAGCATTATGTGGCTTTATTAGATACACTGTCTGTACTTGGAAAAGTACATACACTTGAACTAGTGCCAGGTATACTAGGTTGATGGCTAAGTTAGTACAGCACTGTTTGTTTTGTTTTAGCAAATGTAATATTACTCATATTGTGATTTATATGTGTGTATCATGGCTTGCAATACATAGTGTGCCACTACCAAAGTGAATTTCAGTATTTCACTTTATCATGTGTTAAGAACAAGTCACAAAAAGCATGTCACAGAAATGTATATATACAAAAACGTTTTGAGAGAGAAATAGTGTAAATGCAATTTGTTTTATCACACTGAAATGAAAATGGATAAACACTTTATAAAATACAGTTGTTATATCTAATTTAGGCACTCTGAATAATAATATCAGGAATGAATCCACAATCATATGTCATAGTGTTCTAGAACAATACAGCACACCATATTTTACATAGTTAATTGAGCTCAAAAGGACACAAAGCCCTTCCAGTTCTACCTTTCCAAATACCCATATTTGTTGATTCGGTGGATAAGATGAAGAATTGAAGTGCACAGCTTGACATTCTTTTTATATACAAAACATAACGTGATACGTTTATAGTTAAAGGTCAAACTGTTTTTATGTTATGCCCATTGGTACTTTAAGTACTCAAGATGTGTAGTAAAAAACTGTAGGGTTAATATAGGGGTAAGTTAGGAACTTATTTTTAAAGACAAAACAATACATAAGTGGAAAATCTTTCCAGCGTAGATAGTAGAAACTTTCCTGCTTTCATGAGAAGCAAATTCAAAAGTAATGCTAATGGTTTTATTTTCAAAACCTACAAAATACACAATCCAGCACACTCGCTTCTTCACTAAACAATGATTTCAAGTCTCACAGATTGTAATAGTTTTATTTAAAAAACCCTCACTTAGGCAAGAATAA